CTTAGGTTAATTTAAGAGGGTATCAGTTTGATAACATTGTTCCCGCAGAAAACTAAAATCCTTGCATTCTGCTGGTTCGGTGGACTGTGGCCCCTCACATGACAGGGTAACCTGTCTGAAACAATTTTTTTCCTTCTTTTTCTTAAATAAGATTTGTTTTAAAGGTATGGGCATCCTGGTTTAGTTGATACTTGGAATCACAGCTTCTTGTGATTGAAACTTCTATGGAGGGTTGTTGTGATGTTTGAGACCCGTCAAGAGGTAATGTGGTATCTTTGATTTAAAATGTGTTTTTTTGAGTTATATCTTTTAGATTCTTATGTGATCAAAGTTCAAATTCTTTACTAGCATGTGATCATTTGGTAATCATTACAGAGTTTACATTCTGTTTTGGAGGATTATCTTATTTTAATAATCAGGAAAATCATAAAATTGATACATACTTCGTAAAATAACTTACTTTATTTTACAATTTTTTTTTTTTTTTTTTTTTTTAGACAGAGCCTCAAGCTGTCCCCCTGGGTAGAGTGCTGTGGCATCATGCTCACAGCAACGTCCAACTCCTGGGCTCAAGCGAGTCTCTTGCCTCTGCCTCCCAAGTAGCTGGGACCACAGGCGCCCGCCACAACGCCCGGCTATTTTTTGGTTGCAGCCGTCATTGTTGTTTGGCGGGTCCGGGCTGGGGATTCGAACCCGCCACCTTAGGTGTACGTGGCTAGCGCCTTAGCCGGTTGAGCTATAGGGGCTGAGCCTATTTTACAATTTTAATGAATAACTTTCGTCCTTCTCCCCCAGTTATCTTTCCCCATCTTTTTTTTTTTAGAGACAGAGCCTCATTCTTATTGCCCTTGGTAGAGTGCCGTGGTATTACAGCTCACAGCAACCTCCAATTCCTGGGCTTAGGCGATTCTCTTGCTCAGCTCCCTCCTGAGCAGCTGAGACTGCAGGTGCCCGCCAGAACACCTGGCTATTTTTTTTAGAGACAAAGTCTCACTGTGTTGCCTTTGGTGGAGTGGTGTCATAGCTCACAGCAACTTCCAGCTCTTGGGCTTAGGTGATTCTCTTGCCTCAGCCTCCAGAGTAGCTGGAACTATAAGCACCCACCACAATGCTTGGCCATTTTTTTCTTTTCTTTTCTTTTCTTTTTTTGGTTACAGCCATCATTGTTGTTTGGTGGATGTGGCTGGCACCCTAGCCGCCTGAGCCATAGGCCCTGAGCCCCCATTATCTTTTTTTTTTCTTTTTTTGTAGTTTTTGCTGGGTCTGGGTTTGAACCTACCACCTCTGGCATATGGGGCTGGCGTCCTACTCCTTTGAGCCACAGAGGCCGCTTTTTTTGCCTTTTATTTTTCCTTTGTTCATCTGTTACTACCTTATTTTAAGTTAAATAGATCTTTTCTTTTCTTTTTTTTATAAGAGAGTCTCACTTTGTTGCCCTCCGTAGAGTGCTGTGGCATCACAGCTCACAGCAACCTTTAGCTCTTAGGCTTAGGTGATTCTTTTGCCTCAGCCTCCTGAGTAGCTGGGACTACAGTTGCCCGCCACAACGCCTGGCTATTTTTTGTTGCAGTTTGGCCAAAGCCAGGTTTGAACGCACCACCCTCAGTATATGAGGCGGGCGCCCTACTCACTGAGCCACAGGTGCCGCTCTAAATAGATATTTTCTAGTGTAGTATTTTAATTCCCTTGTTTCTGTTTATCTCTTTCTCTATTTTTTTTTTTTTTTGAGACAGAGCCTCAAGCTGTCCTCCTGGATAGAGTGCCATGGCATCAGAGCTCACAGTAACCTCCAACTCCTGGGCTCAAGCGAGTCTCCTGCCTCAGCCTCCCAAGTAGCTGGGACCACAGGTGCCTGCCACAGCGCCTGGCTATTTTTTGGTTGCAGCTGTCATTGTTTGGCGAGCCCGGGCTGGATTTGAACCCGCCACCTTAGGTGTATGTGGCTGGCGTCTTGCTGGCGTCTTAGCCACTTGAGCCACAGGCGCCGAGCCTCTTTCTCTATTTTTTTTTCTTCCTGATTGCTTTGGGAGTTACAATTAACATGTGAATTTATAACAATAGAGTTGAGATTAATGAAGATTTAACTTTAATAGTGTGTAAAACCTTTGCTGCTATATAAGTGCATTCCTTCTCTTCATCTTGGTGCTGTTATTCATACAGATTAAATCTGTGTACATTGAATGTCCATTAAACAGACTTAAAATTACTGCTTTATGCACTTACCTTTTACATCACTTAGAAAAAGGTTACAAATAAAAAAGATGTTTATATTGTCCTGTCTTACATTTATCAATGTGGTTACTTTTACTGGTGCTGTTTTTTTATACATGGGTTAATTACTTGTAGGGCAGGTCTGCTAGCAACAGGTTCTCTCAAGTCTTTGGTTATCTGGAAATGTCATGATTTTGCTTTCATTTTTGAAAGCTAGTTTGCTGAATATAGAATTCTTGATTGTCTATCTTACCTTTCAGCACTTTGAATATATCATCCTGTAGACTTCTTGACACTCTGGTGTCTGAAACAAAGTCAGCTCCTAATCTTATTGAGGACCTCTTGTATTTAAGTTGTTTCTGTACTGGTGCTTTCAGGATTCTTCTTGTTCTTTGTCTTTTGCAGTTTGATCATTTTAATTGTGATGTTTCTAGCTGTGAATCTCTTTACCTTCATTGGAATTTCTTGAATTACTAGACATTTACATCCCAATTTTGGAAGAATTTGGCCATACACACGTTTACTCATACATATACAAACATATACTCATGCATGAACTCAAACACACTCATACGCACTCAGATACAACCTCGTACACATGTACACACTCACCACTCATAACACAAATACTTATACACACATACATAGGTATACATGTGTATGCACTCAAACACACATATACACACACTCATGCACATGGATGCACACACATCTATACATACTTTTCTCTCCTCCATAGACATATATATAAGTTATGTGCATGTTCTACTCTGTGTTATGAATATTATGGCAATGCCATGAGACTATATATTTAAAAAGAAGAAATAATATAAAAATAATTGCTGTTATTTTCTTTGTGAATCCCCAGGATTTGTTCTGGCCCTGGGATAGGTGTACTCAATCGGATATCACTGTTTTAGAACATATAATACAGAGTTTTTGTGGGGAGGGTCTTCCTGTCTGCCCTTAGTCCCTCCCTCCCTTCCTTCCTTTCTTTTCTTTCTGTCTTACTTTGTCATGCTTGGTAGAGTGCTATGGCATTGTAGCTCACAGCAATCTCTAATTCTTGGGCTCAAGCTATTCTCCTGCCTCAGGCCTCCTGAGTAGAGACTTATAGGCACTGGCCACAATTCCTGGATAATTTGTGGGGAGTTTTTATTAGGGCGTTAGGAGTTCCCATATAAATATTAAGGCCTTAGTTTATTTTCTTAAGCTTTAACATTAATTAAAAGCAGCTACATTTTATTTTATTTTTTTTAGAGAGAGAGTCTCACTTTGTTGCCATAGGTAGAGTGCTGTGGTGTCACAGCTCACAGCAACCTCCAGCTCTTGGGCTTAGGCGATTCTCTTGCCTCAGCCTCCCAAGTAGCTGGGACTACAAACACCTGCCACAACACCTGGCTATTTTTTGTTGCAGTTTGGCTGGGGCGGGGTTTGAACCCGCCACCCTTGGCATATGGGGCCGGCTCCCTACACACTGAGCCACAGGCGCTACCCCAGCTACATTTTAAATCCTAAAAAGCAGAGTAGTTTCACAGATATAAATCTAGTTACCAATTTTGTTTTAGAATTTAGAATGTTAGCTAGCATCTTGCACATGAGACTTATTACTTCAGGAAGTAAATCATACAAGTGATACAAACATAGTTTAGAAAATTGGTAAATAGTGAAAAGAAACCTACATTTCGGTGTACTTATTTATAATAATGATAAGTGTAATAAGATCATCTGCTCTTTCCCCAGGGGATATCTTCACTTTGTAATTTTTTTTAATTGAAAAAAACTTCATTTTTATATTTAGGACTCACTCTGTAACCAAATTGACTTTTAAATCATGATTTCTTTGTTTTTGTTTTTTGCAGCTTGTTAGATGTAGTTTCTCTCTGCATCGTCTTTTGCCACCCCTTTGCTTTTGGAATGATTCATGGGTGACTTCTTGTCCATCAGGAAGCTGAAGTTTTAGAGCTTAAAATTATTTGGTTTGTGTGATTAGGAACCCTAACTATAAGCAGGCGTGTAGTCTTGTCTCATGTTTTCTTTTCTATTCTTTTTTCTTTTTTTCTTTCTTCTTTCAAATTATAATGCTTGTTTCACGTGTGAAAGTAATAAGTGTTAATTGTGGAAACACTGGGACATATAGAAAATTGTTTGAGCCCTTTCTCTTGGCTCTACTCTTTTGCACATAATTCATAAATATTTTACTTTGTTTTCTTTCCCCACGTTAAAGATTCGATTTGACTTGGTTGTAGAAATGGGACTATATTTACTCATTGACAAGTAGGTGGAAACATCCCAGAGTAGTAGTGATTGTTTTGTTTTGTTTTGTTTTGAGACAGAGCCTCAAGCTGTCGCCCTGGGTAGAGTGCTGTGGCATCATAGCTCACAGCAACCTCCAACTCCTGGGCTCGAGCGAGTCTCCTGCCTCAGCCTCCCAAGTAGCTGGGACCACAGGTGCCTGCCACAACGCCCAGCTATTTTTGGTTACAACTGTCATTGTTGTTTGGCGGACCCGGGCTGGATTCGAACCCGCCACCTTAGGTGTATGTGGCTGGCGCCTTAGCCGCTTGAGCCACAGGCACCGAGCCAGTAGTGATTGTTTTGAGGGAAAGAACATACCCCAAGTCTTGGCTCCATAGTGTGAATGAGTGCATGTGGCCTGGCCGAGGGTGGATTTGGCAGTGTGATGTGGCGACGTCACATAACCCATGCGCTTAGTGAACACACAAGAGAGGGAGGCTCCACTGTCTGAGTGGCTTCACCTTATTGGGCATTCACCTTTTCTCCTGCAGACTTGCTAATGCCCCAGGTCACTAAGGACAGGGACCCAGAACCCAATCGAATGCAGATGCCGCAGGGGAACCCTCTGTTGCTGTCCTACACCCTGCAGGAACTACTGGCCAGGGACACCGTGCAGGTGGAGCTTATTCCAGAGAAGAAGGGCCTCTTCCTGAAGCACGTGGAATATGAGGTTTCCAGCCAGGTAACTGGCAGATTATGCCAGTGGGTATGTTTGGGGGTGTGGGAAGAAAGGGACAAATCTCGGGCAGGAGTGGTGGTAATGGGGAGAGGAGCTAAAGACCACGTCTGAGTGCCTGGCTAGCAGGTAAGATCCCAAACCCAACGGCATAGTTGAGCTGCCAAGCAGACTTTCCTATCTTCCTGGTTCCTGCATCTCATTCAGGTCTAGCCACATTCCTGCCTAGTCCAGTCCATGGTCACCACCACTGTGCTTTGGAATCCTGTTTCTTAGGAATCTCATATGATGGTCCTCAGAGCACAAACCTCAGAGATAAGCTAGCCTGTTGGTAGTTTTGCAATATTGGGAAGCCCCTGAGGATTAGAATATCCACTTTATAGAATATGGAGCCTAAATAGTGAATCAAATTTTAGGGGCATAATCCTAGCACTTATGGAGGCCAAGGTGGGAGGATTACTTGAGGTCAGGAGTTCAAGGTCACACTGATTGACATAGCAAGACCCTGTCTCTAAAAAAAAAAAAATAATAAAAAATTAGCTGCATATGGTGTCGCTTGGCTACAGTTCCAGCTGCTCAGGAGGCTGAGTTGGGAAGATAACTGAAGCCCTTGAATTTGAGGCTGCATTGAGCTATGATGATGCCACTCAACTCCAGCCTGGGCAACAGAGTGAGAGCCTGCATCAAAAAAAAGTTTTTAAGTTTGTCCAGGTGCAGTGATTCGCTTCTGTACTCCTAGCATTTTGGGAGGCTGAGGTAGGAGTATCCCTTGAGCTCAGGAGTTTGAGAACATCCTGAGCAAGAGCGAGGTTCTATCTCTACTGAAAATAGAAAAAATCAGTCTCAACTATTTGGGAAGCTGAGCAGGAAGATTGCTTGAGCCCAGAAGTTTGAGGCTGCAGTGAGCTAGGCAGATGCCATGGCACTCTAGTCTAGGCAACAGAGTGAGACCCTGTGTCAAAAAAAATATTCTTTTTCAGGCCAAGATTGGTATGTCAATCTAATTCCCTTTAATGATCGAGCCTTTCTGTTATTGCAGCACCCAGATGTCTGGGTTAATGAGGTGCAGACATGTGGAAGCAGGTTTGGCCCTTGAGTGTATGGAGTCTGCATGGCATCAGCAGCATTATTCTTTCTGGCCTTTCATCTACTCCACTGTCTTTCAGTATCTTGGTTCCATTGGGACAGAGTTTTTTTTTGAATTTTTTTAAAATTTGAGACAGAGTGTCCTCCGTTGCCTAAGAACAAACCAAGCACTGATTGTAAACCGAAACAGAGCAGATGCCAGACTCAAGCAGAGTTGAGTGTGGTGGTGTCCTAGCTCACAGCAACCTCAAACTCTTGGCCTCAAGCAATCATCTTGTCTCAGCCTCCTGAGTATTTGGGACTACAGACACCCACTACAATGCCTGGCTAGTTTTTCTATTTTTAGTACAGATAGGGTCTCGCTCTAGCTCAGGCTGGTCTTGAACTCCTAAGCTCAGGCAATCCACCTGCCTTTGCCTCCCAGAGTGCTAGGATTGCAAGTGTGATTGTTGCACTGTGCCTGGTCATTGGGACAGATTTTGATGGGAGTTTATATTCCTTATCCTGAGGATTAAGTAATTCATCCTTGTTTGGGGATGCACATGGACAGAGTAGGGCCCATGCATGTGAGGCAGCTGGATAGCCTTACCAGGGATTTGTTGAAAACTCTCACCAACAGATGGTGTCAGGTAAAAGGTATGTCTTGAAGACTAAGTAGGGAGGACCCCGTCCCTGCTGTTTGCTGTGTTTGGTATGAGTGCTTCTGTTTTGTGGTTTTAGTGCCTGTGATAGCACTCTCTTCTAACACTTAGTGTTAGACAAAAGCCTGAGGTGGGAGCAGAGAGGGAAAAGAGGCTCTTTCCATGACTGTTTCAAGGACAGTCTTGCTGTCCAGTTTCACTTTGCTCCTGGCCTCTTTGCTTTATAGCTGGAGATCATGTAGTCAGCTGACTTGATGCCATGTGGTGGGGGGAACCAGCCCTTCCTGAGGTCTGGCAGCCTGGAGGGAAGATGTCTCTGTTCTTTTCAGTGAGGTATAGCTAGCTTTTTCCCAGGCTCATTCAACTGCCCATTCCTGAGGTAAATTGGCTACTGCATAATGGACATTTGTGGAGGGAGGTGGTTTTGCCCAGGATACCTCTTGACGTGTAAACAGGGCAGCTGCTCACTGTGTGCTGTCTCCAGCTGTGTGCCTGCTCCTTGCGTGTGCTAGGGTTTGTGCGTGATGCTTGCATGATGCAGGTGTAGTCTCACAGAGATGGGGGCACCTGAGTGCTTGTTTTTCTGCATATTGGATAATTTTAAGGATACTTGCTCATGCATGTTTCTTGGATAAGCTCTTATGTAGGTTCAGTTACTCTAGTGATTAGCATGTTGTGAAGCCTATAGCTTTGTCAGTGATGGTGTTTACAGTGGCGTTTGTAAGCAGATATGCTTGAGTCTGGCGTCTGCTCTGTTTTAGTTTATAATCAGTGCTTGGTTTGTTTTTAGGCAGTGGTTTATTTCAGGAGGCATTGGTAAGGCTTATGTTAGCATTAATGAAGTAAAGAATGCATTATTTTTTTTTTATTTATTTTATTTATTTTTTTGAGACAGAGCCTCAAGCTGTCCCCCTGGGTAGAGTGCCGTGGCATTACAGCTCACAGCAACCTCCAATTCCTGGGCTCAAGCGAGTCTCCTGCCTCCGCCTCCCAAGTAGCTGGGACCACAGGTGCCCGCCACAACACCCGGCTATTTTTTGGTTGCAGCCATCATTGTTGTTTGGCGGGTCCGGGCTGGGGATTCGAACCCGCCACCTTAGGTGTACGTGGCTGGCGCCTTAGCCGGTTGAGCTATAGGCGCCGAGCCAAGAATGCATTATTTTTAATGTGCTACCTTTTAATGGTGGGATAGGTGCTTACCTTAGCAGTTAAAACTCCTATGAAGAGTCTTATTTCACAGGATCCACCATGACCATAGTTAAAAATGAAATTAAGAGCTCTACAACGTTTAAAAGTTTTATTAACATGTATTAAGGGGTTATAGGTATCCTCTTTCTCTAAGGGTCTGGGGAGAGCAGATGAGTTTGGTAATATTATTTACACAGGTCCTGTGATGTGGTGGAAGGAGAAGGTAAGGGGATATGATTAGATGTCCATTCTGAGCACTGAACCCTTTTTCTTGTAGCGCTTCAAGTCTTCTGTGTACAGACGGTACAATGACTTTGTGGTCTTCCATGACGTGCTGCTACACAGGTTTCCGTACCGAATGGTGCCAGCCCTGCCACCCAAGAGGATGCTGGGAGGTAAAGCTGGGTTTGTTGGAGACTCTGGGGTGGATGGGAGTGAGCCTAGACCCTGGATTCTGAGGTCCCTGCTCAGTGATGGATCTGTCATAGACTAGGAAGCCACTCCTGGATGAGTGGCCCGAGAGGGGCTGGTGGCAGGGCTGGCAGCACACTTCCCAGGGCTCCCAAGTAGGTGACCAAAGCACCGTTTGCTTACGTGGTGGCAGTTTGTTTTGCCTGCCTTTGCAAAGCTATGGGAACCTCTGCCTCACATTCAATAGTAGCATTAAGTGATTTCACAGAAGAGAACAGAAGCAGTTGTAAGGCAGGCAATCTAACCTGCATCTTAAAGGTGATAAAAAACAGGAATGCAGCCACACCTTCATTGCTTCCCCTGAGTACTGTCCCAGGCCAGGTGGGTGATCACAGACAACCTGCAAGCCCTGTCCACAAGGGCCTGTTTCTCCTAGGGCACAAGAACAGAGGAAGGCAGCATTCGTCATCTCCAGATCTCATTAGTCATCTCTTATATAGCTCTTTTCTCATATTCTGAATAAAGCTTAACTGGTGGGCAATACCTAAAGCTAACCAGCTGACTTTCTGCCATTCCTCAATTGTCCCAAATACTTGAATACTGAATACTGAATACTTGAACAAGGAAGAGACCTGAGATGAACAGTGGGCCAGTTTCTATCAACTGGAAATCTCTTAAAACGGAGTAGAGAAGTTTTTGCTTCTCACTGGTCACTGCAAGTCTAGAGTCTGATAAAGTGATTTTCTAATCACCTGTTAGACTGCTGTAGAGCAGGTTGTTCTCCTCACATGGAAGAGTACTGGGAGTGTGTGGGTAGCAGAGATCAAAATGGGTCCTGGGGGTAGGTGATGCTTACTGAAGTCTACACATCCAAGTTGATTAAGTGTAGTTAGTGTTTAGTAACAGAGACTGTGCGTGCCTACACTGGGGTGGGGTTGAGCATTTGTTTTCATGATGGGCCTGGCCACCTACTCCAGAGACTATAGAACTGGAAGGCAGGCCTCAACCAACTGTATTATTTTTACAGATAATATTTTAAATGCCATTTCTATTTGTGTTCAGATTTAAATGTCCTTGATGCATCAATATGCCCTTTTTGTTCCTCTTGAAATGAAAATATTTAACCTGAAAGAAAGCAATCAGTTGCATCCATTACAGAGCTGTGTGAGTAGGAAAACTGAGTTGCATTATTGTAGGAACAAAACAAAATCCATTTTTTTCATGGAGAGAAGTGATAGGAAGGGAAAATAGAGGGCATAGATGATCAGAGTGGGGTATCAGACTCTGTTCCCAGAACTCTTGATTGAAGCAAATAGATCTGTGGTTTCTTGGCAGTTCCTAGGCCCATGTGTGTATGCAGGGACCTGGGGCTCTGCAATAGCCTCTTTGATCTGTTGTCCTGGCAGTGAAGGGGGCTGTCTGGTACCTTCAGCTTGCCATGGGGTTCTGACTCCTCTGCTGAGATGCTTTGAGAGCTTGCCCAGAATGGAAGGTTTTGGGCAAGTGCCAGGCTATTGGTGACTCTGTGTGCTTCTTTAGCTGACAAGGAATTCATAGAGGCCAGAAGGAGAGCCCTGAAGCGCTTCATTAACCTGGTGGCCCGACATCCCCCATTCTCCGAGGATGTCATGCTCAAGCTGTTCCTCTCATTCAGTGGTTCAGTAAGTATACTAAACAGTGTCTGTGCTCCCACTGTGTACTTTGAGTACCAAAACTCTTATTTTTATTCTTAAGTTTATCTTGTTCTCCTGGCACCTGTTCCAGTGCTTGGAAGGACTTTGTCTTATTTGTGGCCGACATACATAGGACGTCTTTTATTTTCAGATAACAGGTTGCATCTGATGTAAGAGGCATCCTTGGGTCTTGACCTTGCATGACTTTGTGTGTCCTTGTGGAGATTGCAGGTCTTAGTGGTCACTTAGGGGATGTAGGTGGGATGTTTTGGAGGGTTTACATGAGTGCCAAAGACTCTAGATGTGAGTAAGTATTTACTTAGAAAAAACAGGGCAGCACCTGTGGCTCAAGGAGTAGGGCGCCAGCCCCATATACCGGGGATGGCAGGTTCAAGCCTGGCCCCGGCCAAAAATGCAAAAAAAAGAAAAAAACAACAAGACCCCTTTGACTGAGGACTTTTGGAAAAACAAACTGCATATCCTCAGCAGAGTCACAATGTGGATCGTATCTTGGGGAAGAATTCATTTCAATTAGAAATCAGAGCGGCCATTTCTTCCTCTGAGTGGCTACTGCGCAGTGTTGGGAAGAGTCAGGAAGCTAAAGCAAAGCTCTAGTTTCTAGCTGAGGAGGAAAATGTTGCCAGCTGCTCCCCCAGAGAAAGGATGGTTTGGTGATACTCTCCCACGTGGGCCTGCGGGCCCTGGCTGTAAGGTGGGGGGTTGGGGGCTCCAACGAGGAGTAGAATATCCAGGTTCTCCTCTGCTGGAGGGAAGCCCCTTCTCAAATGGGACCTGGGGCCCTGCCACCTGCCAGTTGTCACTGCTGCGAGGATAAGGGCCGTCAAACCTGCACAAGCAGACTCAGCATGAGTCTTTTCATTTCCCTCAGAGGCAGAGGGGCCTGGGCCCTGATCCAGAGGCTGCCAGTTATCTCTGGGGGATGCCCCAGAGGTACCTGGAACTAGGCAGGTAGTTCCTGCCTGAATGTACATGCTTGTGGCCTCTGCCTTGAGCAGAGACTGTGACCGCTTGAGCCCTAGGGGTGAGAGGCTCCTTTGGAGCAGAGCTCTTGATTACCTGGGAGGAATGCAGTACAACCTGGAGCTGCTCAGGCTGTAGGCAGAGAAGTGGGAGGTGGGGAGGGACAGGGTGGGACATGGGTGGGAAACACTACATTCTGGTGGTGGTGAGCTCCCTGTCCCCTTGCTTTTCCACAGATAAGATATTCTTTGCAGCCTCCTGGGGCCTCAGTTTTCTTTTTTAGTAAAATGAGAAAATTGGGCAAGATGGTTTTTAAGGCATGTCTGAAATTCTAGAATTCCTTTACACATGGACAGCTGATGTTAGGCTTTTCCTTTTTATCTCCTGGGGGGCCTCCATGAGGCCTAGCTTTGCTGAGGAGCCCTCTATTCATAGGCTTAAGTGCCAGGGGCTGGGACCAGCCCCCTCCACTGCCCAGCAGCTTTCCTGGGCCCTGGGGTTCCCCACATTGTAGATTTGTTTACAGGAAGGAAGAAGCCTTCACTTTCGTCCTGTTGCTGTGTTTGGAGCCTCCCAGGGTGTGATGTCTGTCTCAAGTGCTGATGCTACTCTAAGTTTGTTGATAGATTTAGCAAATTACTAGAGAGACACCTCTCTCCACTCTGGACTCAGAGATCTGGAATGCTACTGCCATTCATCCAGGCTTTCTTGCCTGTGGAAGATCATCCGAAAGTTTAAGTAATGAAAAAAAAATGTAACAGGAGATAACAGATTATGGAAAATGTGTATAAAAGCCAACATATGCTCTTGAGGAAGGGCTGTGTCCTGCTTTGTGCTGACTTACTTGGTCTCACATCAACTTCTCTGTTGATGGTGTAGGGTAACATTGTCTCTTTTGTTCCTTTGCAGGATGTGCAGAACAAGTTAAAGGAGTCAGCTCAGAGTGTTGGCGATGAATTCATGAATTGTAAACTGGCTACTAGGGCCAAGGTATTTATCTAATTTAGGTTATTACTTACCCTCTTAACTAGAGAAGCAATAATTTTAATGGTTATTACATACTTTGCCTCTACTGTATGGCAGGGATTATGCTAAGACCCATTGCATGTTTTTCTCATTTAACCTTCATTTCAGTTGCTCTGAAACACAGGGATGTCAGGCCTATTTTACACTTGAAGAAATAGTCTGAGAGTGGCCCTAGGCTTGTGAGTAGCAGGGCCAAGTTGTGATTTGAACTCTGACCTCAGAGCCCACGGGGCCCCTCAAACCCTCTGTTCCTTTCTGTGATTCAGGTGAATGTGTGCTGTGTCACTAGCCTTTCATATTTTAGAGAATTGATTGTTGCATTTGTTTATTTTTACAATTTTTTTTGTTTTTAAGACAAAGACTGTCTCTTTTTGCTCAGGCTAGAGTGCCATGGCCTCAGCTTAGTTTATTGCAACCTCAAACTCCTGGGTTCAAGGGATCTTCCTGCCTCAGCCTCCCCAGTAGCTGAGACTACAGGCGCCCATCATGATGCCTGGCTGTTTTTCCATTTTGTGTGGAGATGGGTTCTTGCTTTTCTCAGGCTGGTCTCAAACTCCTGGGCTCAAGAGGTCCCCTGGCTCCAGCCTGTCAAGTAGTTAAGATCACAGGTACATGCTACCATGCTTGGCTAATTTTTAAGTTTTCTGTGGAGACAGGGTCTTGTGTTTCCCAGGCTAGTCTTGAAGTCCTGACCTCATGTGATCCTCTCACTTTGCCCTCCTAAAGTGCTTGGCTGTTAGGCGTTAGTTATCATGCCTGGCCTGACTCTTTCTTAAATAACTTCTTCATATAAAAATAAGGACTCTTTTATCTTCATTTTATTTCCTGAGCTTTTTGTTTTCTTTTTGTTTTGTTTGATAGTTTGGTGATATTCTCCCATGTGTACCTGTAGGCCCTGGCTGTGGCCAGAAGCTTGTAAAAAGACTTTGGGGATGATTGAGGAATTCAGGAAGCCTTTTTCTCATGTGGGGTCTTTCAGGAACGCAACTTTTATCATGTTGAGCATAAAGATGATTATTTGAATGTTTTTTTGATAAGACCTCCAGTTAGATCAAATTTCAGTAGACCCTACAGTTGAAATGTCGCAGGATCATTGGTCTTAGTGTTTGCAGTATACAAGTGATGATGGTTTCTAGTGCTTCTTTGGAGATATGAAGAGAGAACTGCTACTGGCTGTTGAGAAGAAGGGTTTTGGGGGAGCATTTCTGGCATCACCTGGCCTTGGAGTTGGGCTCATTTACCTGTTCAGACAATTGGAGTTTTTTGTCTCCTGTTGGTCATCTTTTGGCCCATCAATTGCTGTGATCAGAAAGGCATTTCAAGTCTAGTAATGCACAGTTTCTCTCCTCTTATCTGGTCAGGATTTCCTGCCAGCTGACATCCAGACCCAGTTTGCTGTTAGCCGGGAGCTGATCCGAAATATCTACAACAGCTTTTATAAGCTTCGAGACAGGGCCGAGAGGATTGCATCGAGGGCCATTGACAATGCTGCTGACCTTCTCATATTTGGGAAGGAGTTAAGGCAGGTGGCCTTCCAGGTTCTGTGGGTGGTGTGCCAAGTGGGGAAGAACCTTTAAGCTGGTGGTAGATGGAGCAGGAAGTGCTGTTCCTGTAATCACCTGACCTGTGGCATGGGTCAGATAAGTGGGGAGAGGGTCATAGTTAGAAGAAAACAGGAGAATTTAGGCAGAGAAATGTTGGACTCCTGGACACATGTAAATGCTCACTAGTTAGTGCCTTATGTGGCAGTTTTCCCATTGCCAGGAATTGACTTAAAAAAAAAGACTGATTTGATTTGGAGAACAGACTGTGGGCTGGCAATGCCTTCTTTACCTGAAGGGGTGCTGAGACCTTCTACCTGGGACTCTTGCTATCCTTAGCAGTCTTGGACATGCCTGTGAACATGAATCATCTGGGGTTTTTTTGGGAAGAGGAACTGATGTGGGAGGTCTGTGGTGGGGCCTGAGGGTGGGGTCACCCTTTCTTACAGACTCTCCAGTTTCCCAAGGACCATTCTGAGTAGCTAGGGTCTCAGGCAGGAGACATGCAAGTTGTTGTAGGAAGACTTGGTGTTCAGGGTCAGCCTGCAGCATGTGGTGGTGAGTTCGGGGCCTTAAATGTCTCTTCCCTTGTGTGCTTCACTTCCCTTAGTGCATTAGGGTCTGACACGACTCCGCTGCCCTCCTGGGCCACTCTGAACAGCAGTACGTGGGGGGCTCTTAAGCAGGCTCTGAAAGGCCTGTCTGTGGAGTTTGCGCTGCTTGCCGACAAGGCTGCACAACAGGTGAGTGGATTCGTTCTCCATGGGCACCTGTTCCAAAGAACATTCTATACCTAGATCTGGGGCAGTGCTGCCTCCTTAGGTAGACCTCAGAGTCCTAGGCCTGGAGTGAGTGAGCAGCTGTTTCCCAGGTGGAGATGGCTGTCCCCTTCTGTTCTAGGCTGTTCCTTTGAGCTGTTTACAATTTCCATAGGGTTGCTTGTGACACAAACAGTCCTGGTCTCTTGATTGCTGGCTTTGCTGAGATCAGAAGATAGACTCTGTCTTTGAAAATGTAATCTTGGATTTCCAAGGATACTTCTCTAGGTGGACCAGATAGTTCCCACTTTGTTCTCTGAGTCGACTGGTATCTGGGACATGGTGACTTAACTCATCAGGATAATAACTAAGCCCTCAGTACCGCAGGAGACTTCCACTTCCTTCCACCCTTGATAGTCAGTTAACCTCAGGAAGTGTTTCTGCTGCAAGGGCAAGGAGCCATTTTTAGAAATTTTGAAAGGATCCTGTAGTCATTTGGGATTAATTTGAAGATACAGTATTTACCATCAAACATAAAGGTTCATCTGGGTGTTTTTATGTTAAAGGTGTTATGTTATTTTGAGGGTGAAAGCTTGCTGTCTGTTTCTTGGGGAAATGGTCTCTAAGCTACTAGTAGGTATATTATTTTAAAGAAGTTAAAGTAATATACTTACTAAAGCTTTGCTTCCCACCTAAGACCTGGAGCACTTGAGTCACTCACTTGCTCACTTGATGTGTGACAGATCCACCTGTTGTGGAGTTGGGTTTTTTTTTTTTTTTTTTTTTTGAGACAGAGCCTCAAGCTCTCCCCCTGGGTAGAGTGCTATGGCATCACAGCTCACAGCAACCTCCAACTCCTGGGCTCAAGCGAGTCTCCTGCCTCAGCCTCCGAAGTAGCTGGGACCATAGGCGCCTGCCACAACGCCTGGCTATTTTTTGGTTGCAGCAGTCATTGTTGTTTTGGTGGGCCTGGGCTGGATTCGAACCTGCCACCTTAGGTGTATGTGGCTGGTGCCTTAGCCACTTGAGCCACAGGTGCCGAGCCAAGTTGGGGAGTTTTCAGGATGGAGGTTGGACACTTGGTGCTTGAAAGAGAGAATTTGGTCTTTTTGCTGGTGTGGAAAGTCCTGAATTTTCTTCCACTTTTGCTCCTGGTGCCTGTGTGTTCCCTTTGAGATTGTGTTTAGGGCAGTATTGATGTCTCCAGACCTGCATATGGTCCACCTCCAAGCATGTGTGCCCCGTTTTCTAATGCAGGGAGGACAAGACTATGGAGCAGGGGTGGATCAGGATGGAAATGCAGGGGGAGCTCTGGTATCTTTGCTGTGACCAAGCTTAAATTTCTCTGTTTTGTTTTTTTTTCTTGAGACAGAGTCTCAGTATGTCACTCTTGGTAGAGTATGGTGTCACAGCTCACAGCAACCTCAAACTCATATAGACTTAAGCAATTCTCTTGCCTCAGCCTCCCAAGTAGCTGGGATTACAGGTGCCCCACAATGCCCGGCTAGTTTTTGGTTGCAGTTGTCGTTGTTTAGCAGGCCCAGGCTGGGCTCAAACCCGACAACCTTGGTGTATGTGACCAGCACTCTACCCACTGAGCTACAGGTGCCACCATTTCTCTGGTTTCTGAGCCTCAGTTTCCCATCGGTTAAATACAAGGGGGTTAGACTAGCTCAATAAAAGAACTGTTTGTAACCCAGGTGTGGTGGCATGTGCCTATACTTCCATCTTCAGGTTGGAGAGTCTCCTAATCCCACAAGTTTAAGGCCAGTCTGGAGAGCATAATAAGACTCCCATCTCTTAAAAAAAAAAGAGAGAGGCTGGGGGTTCATAGCTCAATGGTTGGAGCACTGGCCACATGTACTGAGGGTGGCAGGTTTGAACCTGGCCCAGGTCTGCTAAAAAGAAAAAAAGAAGGCTCAGTGCCCGTAGCATGGTGGTTATGGCACCAGCCAAATATACCAAGGCTGGAGGGTTGGAACCTGGTCTGGGCCAGCTAAACAACAATGACAACTGCATTAAAAAAAAAAAAAAGTAAGCCAGGTGTTGAAAAAAAAAAAAGCCAGGTGTTGTGGTGGGTGCCTGTAGTCCCAGCTACTTGGGAGGCTGAGGCAAGAGAATTGCTTAAGACGAAGAGTTTGAGTTTGCTGTGAGCTATGATGCCATGGCATTCTACTGAGGGCGATACAGACTCTGTTTCAAAAAAACAAACAAACAAAAAAAAGAGTGAGCAAGAACTATTATATGTTTTTAAACTTGAACCTTTTTTTTTCCAACCTTGATATGTAAAACATTAAAATGAAGGCAGGGGCCCAGCCCCTTGTCACTCCTAGTTCCCATTTCAGCCAGGAAGCTCCAATGGGTGCCAGAAATCCCCGGGGGTTAGAAGAGCACAGGATGAAGATCATAGGTGATTTCCAAGGTCTTTTCTGATTCAGATCTGGGTGCTGTGTTTCCATCCTGGAACGGGAGGGAAGGTTCCTGCTTCTGGTGTGGTAGAAGTTTGAAATCTGAGATTTGCCCGACTCTGTGAGTCTTTCTTCAGAAGTACCACTTCCTGAATCTTCCTCAGGGGTTTTACATGAGACTAGATGAAATAACCTTCTAGGACTTTCATTCCATACAACTGAAATTCCACGCTATCCTTGCTGTACAGTTGGAGTAGTGTTTTTCAACCTTTTTTATCTCACAGCAACCACACTGGAACCTATAGTTAAACTTCTGTGGTACACTTAAATTATGTTGATCAAAAAAATGTAAAAAAAAGAATATACTTACTGTGCTTCGAATTTCTTTTCAAAATAATTTAATTAATCTTTAAAAGTTTTCATGGCGTACCTAAGATCCTCTCACAGCACACTGTTGAAAATCACTGAATTAAAGACCTCCTAAGACTTATTTCCTAATTCTGGTTTTACTGATACTAGTTTTATTCTCCCCAGATCAGTTAGGATAGCGGTTCTTAACCTGTGGGTTGCAACCCACAGGAACTGAATTAAAGGGCCCTGGCATTAGGAAGGTTGAGATCCACTGAGTTAGGAGTTGTGGATGACTCTGTCCCAGCAAGATGAGTGAGACTCAGAGTAGGGGCTGTGCTTTCTGTGGTGATGGGATGTTTGCTTGGTTGATGGTTTAGGGTCTTCTGTGGTGTTGAAGCATAAATGGGAATTGGTGGCAAATATGGGCAGGCAGTGGAGCTCTGAGCTCTCCCTTCTTACTGGACAAGAACCCTCAGTCTTCTTTTGCCTCTGGTTGGGGGGAACAGGGCATGGGGCCAGTTGGTGTTTTCTTTGTGAGTTTACAAACCCTTTATCACACCAGTTAATTTCTTGGCACCTTTCCTGGCACCTTAATGGCCAGGATAGTGGTTGGCTGCAGGTATGGTGAGGGGATAGCTGGGGACCCTTCCTGTTCAGGTCATGAGGCTGAGGGAGTGGAAGGGGAATCTAGGGCATGGCACAGCCAGTGGCACCCCTGGCTTCTGGGATTGTGCTGTGCCCACAGAACTCTAGTCCTTTCTTTCCAGTCTTCTTCCCCCACTGCTCCTTGTACCAGGCTCCACATGAGCATGAGGGACTCAGGAAGGAGTCTTGTCTCCCTGCGGTGTCTGCAAGTCTTGGGGATCGAAGGCATGATCCATGCTGGTCCGCCTTCAGGGTTGTGGCCCTGAGACCCAGTGTCAGCACTGGTGGGTCCCAGGGATGCATGCCATTGGCCTGACTTTGTTGCTGTGGTGGCTGGGAGGGTGAAGCCTCATGTTCTTGCTGCTTGGGACTCGGGGTATAGAGAATGTGCTATCCCTTCCGTGCCTTCCCTGACCTCTTGCCATTCATAGAGTGAGGATACTCCCCTTAATGGCAGCCTAAGGTGCAGAATTCTACTGAGCACTTGTGCTGATCTGAACTTATGTCTCTCCAAGTGCCACACATGGTGGACCCTGGCAGGTCAGGAGCAGTCCCTGGCTGGTATCCAACCTGCTGGTGCTGATTCGTGTTCCCAGGATGCCAGGATGACAGAGCAGGGCTTTCCCCTCTGTCATTATCTAGGCACCGATTCCACTAACAGGGTGGCTCTCCATGCTGTTGTGGACTTAATTGTGCACCTCTTGGTTTGTCACTGTCACTGTGCTGCTTGGACGCAAACCCATGTGCAGAAGCCAGAAGGGGCACCTTCCTGCCAGCCCCCTCCCCTGCTGTGGCCTGGTCTTTTGTCATCTTTGTGCTTCAGCCTGAGCACCTGACACCTTTGCTCACTTCCTTCCCTTGTGTCTTCAGCATTATGCGTTCTCCCTGCAGCTTTAGCCTTTTCTCTCCTCTTGAGCCCCCTTCCCAAACTTTTTTCTTTCTCTTATTAGAGCTAATGGGAAACTTCCTTTTACCAGTAGTATTGTCCTCTTTTGACTTGGCCTACGGCTTGAAAGAGTAGTTCAGATTCTCTGTGGTGGTGGGGGAAACTGGTGGGGGAGAGGCCTGAGTTACCAGCTCCCCTGGGACATCTGTGTCCGTCTGTCAGGATGAGATGGTAGCTCTGGAAAGCTCAAAGAAAGGAGGATACAGCAGTGTTTCACAACCAGAGTGAGGTGGGCAGTAGTCCTCACTGGAACTGAGGCCCTTGTTTCCGCCCACACTGCTGGTTTTGAAGGCTTCTTTGCCTGGTGTTTGGGATGGGCTGTCACGTGGAACTGGCTGATGGTTTCTGGGGGAGCCTCTTTGGCTCTGGGTATAAGAGCTTGGTGGCATGCAGCTGGTCTGAGCCCCAAGGGGACTTTGGTCCTGTGTTTATGTTGGTTAATTTGCCCCTGTCTTCCAGGGTAAACAGGAGGAGAATGATGTGGTGGAGAAACTGAACCTCTTCTTGGATTTGCTCCAGTCCTATAAAGTGAGTCCTGGCTGCCGTTTGGTTAAGGCTAGGGCTTTTGAGGATGATCTTATGCTCCTTTAAGGTGTAACTCTTGGAGGTAGAGAAAGGGCTGAGAATCCAAGGCTGTGGCAGGAAGGTGGGCCTTCAGTCTCGTGGATGCGGCCTCCCTGGCTAGCTGTCCAGGCTTTGGGGCCAGTGGTGAGTGCTGCCTCTCCCCACAGGACCTATGTGAGCGGCATGAGCGGGGTGTGCTGCACAAGCACCAGCGGGCCCTGCACAAGTACAGTTTGATGAAGAGGCAAATGAGTGCTGCTGTGCAGAACCGTGAGCCGGAGTCTGTGGAACAGCTTGAGTCCCGCATTGTGGAGGTAGGTGGATGGGATGAGGGGGCAGCTACAGGTGACAGGCTCGTGGGAGCCTTTGCACATCTGCTCCTGGCCAGAGGCCAGAGCTGTCTTTTATGGGCACCCAGTGTGATCACTGCCTTGCTTGCAGTCCACTCTTCCCTTGGCACCTTCCAGATGCTCCATTGAAGTTAGATTTTGCTTCAATGGTTATAAGAGAAGAGGAGAGCCCCAGTTCAGGAAAGGTTGTGTGTGGGCCTCATTATTGGCTGGGCACAAAAGGAGGCTCTTTTTTTTGCAGCAAGAGAATGCTATTCAGACAATGGAGCTTCGGAACTATTTCTCCCTGTACTGTCTGCACCAGGAGACACAGCTCATCCATGTCTACCTGCCCCTCACCTCCCACATCCTTGGGGCCTTCGTCAACTCTCAGATCCAAGGGCACAAGGAGGTGAGCCCCATCCTGCCCTGGTCTGTGTTGTGGCTGATGCCTTTCCTTTAAGCCTGGTGACGCTTGCAGCTAGCTGGTCTTGAGAAATTGCTTAGTGGAGTTGGGATGTGCATGGGGCCCTAAAATATAGTTCTTGTTCAGATCTGCTAGTCTCTTATGTAGCCAGAATCATAATTGTGAAGTTGTCTTCTTCATAATTCTTGGGGGATGAAGTGGAGAGAGTGGTGGAGAGCCAGTGTAAAGGGATGGTTTCTTGCTTTCTGAGAAATCTAAGAAGTCACACTCTGGGAGGCCGAGGCAGGTGGATTTCTTGAGCTCAGGAGTTTCACACCAGCCTGAGCAAGAGCAGGGTGTTGTGGTAGTCACTTGTAGTCCCAGCTACTTGGGATCCTGACTCAAGAGGATCCCTTGAGCCCAAGAGTTTGAGGTTGCTGTGAGCTATGACACCACAGCACTCTACTAAGGGCAACAAAGTAAGACTTTGTCTCAAAAAAATAAATAAATAAAATAAAATTTAGGGTTCTTGAGTCCTAAGCCTGAGTGGGAGGTGGCATGAATCAGGTTTCAGCCATTACTATAGGTTTAATGTTTTCTCAAAACTCCTGGTCAGGGGTTCTCAACCTTCCTAATGCTGCGGTAGATGATAGTTCCTTAAGTCTTTGAGGTGAAATGGCCTGAGTTGTCCTGAGGCAGGCTTCTGCTTTGAGTGGGCTAGGGCCAATGGCTGTGGCCTATCGCTATCTCCAAACAGCCTAGGAGGCTTATGGGTCTGGCCAGGGCTCAAGAAACACTGACAGAATGGCTACTGTCCAGTTCCTTTCCCAGTCTCTGTGTAGTCCCCATGGCCTCCTCCTTGCTGGTGTCTTTGCCCTTCCTTTTCCTGTGGCCCTTAGTGCCTCTGGTTAGTGTTGGAGTCATGATTGTTTCCTGTATGATGTGTCATCTTGTGGCCCCTCTGCTTATGGGTGTAGTGTGGGCAGCTCAGGCCCAGAATTCATGAACCCCTATCTCAGATCCCTGCTCCATGACTGTGATGACCTCTTATGTCCTCTGGGACTCAATTTCCCCATCTGAAAAAAGCTTCACCAGCTTTCCAAGATTGGCCTGGGCAGTCAGTAGTGGGTAGGTTGATGCCGCAATCACATTGGTGATAGCCACCTGTTTCTGGGTCTGCAACTGGTGCTGGTACCAGCTGGTTTACATTTGTCCCTGTCACCAAGGAACACATATGCTGGTGGGAGAGTTAGAGAGCTGGCCTGTCAGAGGAGGAATGGTCTCTCGTGCTCTGATGGAGCTTGCACAGAGCTCAGAGACTGGGATGGCCCATCCCAGGGAGCTAGTGATTTTTGTGTGGCAGTTCAGGAAAGCGCTTGTAAGTAGCCTGTAACATGAACTCAGACTTGTAGTTCACAAAGGCCATTGACAATGGTGTGGAGGTGGATTAAGGGGTGGAAGGTGGTGCTTGTAAACCTGTTGGGAGGCAATTGTAACTGGCCAGGCTAGTGGCCATGTGGACCTTGGTCTAGAACTAGGTCATGTCAGAACCACCTGTTTGTTTGAGATGTAGATTCTAGGGCACAGAGCCTGCCCCAGACCTAAGTCAGAATTTCTGAGGCAGGGACTCAGGTGTCTGTCTTGTCCTCTGCATATTCCTAGGGCCACTCTCTGCCTTTCTATGGTCCTAGGAGCCCCTGCATTGCAGGTTTTGGTCCCTGATCCCCACCTCATTCCCAGGCTCCCCACCTCCTCGCTCCATGGTTTCTGTTCCTCAACTTGGATATGAAAGTGCTTGGCGAATGGGTGTGGCCATTTTTTATTCCTATCTGTGTTTTATCCACTTGGTGGACACTATCTTGGTGTTTCACCTGCTGAGATGTCCAGAAGGCTGGTCCTTGAAAAGCTGTTAGAAAGTGTGCTGGAAATGACCCAACAAGGATGTTTCTTGAAATTCTACATCAACCAAATTTGAGGCCCTTTGGTCTTGTGTGTGGAGGACAGGGAAGGGGAACTGTGACATCTGGCATCTGGTGTAGTCCTTATTTTGCCTTTTCCTGTGGGGACAGGAGAGGGAAGGGGCTGATCTCTCATTTCTAGGGGTTCTATGGGTAGCTAGAGGCCAGGAGCCTGTGTGTAGGGTTGTAGCCTGCACTTGGGTGGGGGGTTCTCCAGGGACACAGGGTTGGAGCAGATATGGCACAGAGGGGATATGGCCTGCCCTGCCCTGCTGACTTCTCTCCTTCCTCTCCCTCAGATGAGCAAGGTGTGGAATGACCTGAAGCCCAAGCTGAATTGCCTCTTTGTGGGACCACACAGTGTACTGACCCCACCTCGCTCCCCACCAGAGGATGGCATGTGTTCTCACTAGTGCCTGAGGCCCACTGCAAGAGCGCCCTGCGGCCTCACTAAAACCTCTTTCCAAATGCTGTGTCCCTGTTTCATTCCCTACTCTGTGGTGCCTCTTAGTTGGGGCCAGGCCAGTGGATCATCTTGTGCCCATCCTGCAGCATCCATGGAAACAGCGGACCACACTGGGGCTGTCGTATTGCCTTCTCCTCCGATGACTGCTCTCTCTGCCAGTCTGGCAGGGAGCCGGTGAATGTAGGTGCTGTGATTCTCTGGAGTGGCTTTCTCCTCATGCCCTGCTCAGGGAGAGGCAAAGATGGTGTCTCACAGCAGATAATTCCTGAGGGTGTTTGGAGGGTTACAGTTTCTAGAACAGTCAGGGATGTGGGGCTGGGTTAGCAAGCAAAGGAGAGGGTGGACAGCACTGCCCTGTGGCTGGATGTGGTGGCTGACCTTTGACAGGGGGGTCAGAATAGGTACTTTGGGTGGACGGAGAGGGTGAGGTGGCTGCTACAGAAGTCGCTGGATGTACATGGTGCTGGTTTTTGAGGGAACATGCTCCAGTGAGTGCCTCGGTACCCTACTCTTATACCGATCTCTGGGGCTGAGGACCCCTGTGCCCCTCCATGCACAGACATATGACCGTGTGTACCTCATGGTCTGAGGCTCCTCCTGTCTATCTATGGGCTAGAAACTACTCTGTTCTTACATTGCACAGATTCCCTGCTTTTGGGCAGTTAGTGTTGGGGTCCGTGTGGTCACTGCGGTAAGAAGGACATAGCAGAGGATAGGTGTGGGGTGTGGGAAATGGGTTATTTCAGCTGGGGCTTTAGAGGGGCATCTGTGTTGCTGGGGCTGACCTCTTTTTTAATTGGATATCCTTCTTTTGGGTGATTAGAACCATCCTCCCAACCTCCCTTCACACACGTGGAGGGGGCGAGCCATCCTTTGGGCCACGTCTGTTCTTGGGATGAGGAATGAACTGTTCTCCTGAGCTCTGTAGGATGTGAATGCCCACCTCAGGACCGCATATGTTACTCCCCAAATCTGTTCGCAGCAAGCACACATGGCCTTCATCTAGGGCAGGCATCCTCAAACTACGGCCATGGGCCACATGCGGCCTGCTGAGGACATTTATCCGGCTCGCTGACTGTCCTGCGTGGCAGCCAGCTTGTCCCGGGGCCTGTAGTCCAGCCCGCCAACAGTCTGAGGGACAGTGAACTGGCCCCCTGTTTAAAATGTTTGAGGACCCCTAGTCTAGGGGCTGGGAGCCAGGCTAGGCTCTCCAGCACCCTTGGGCTCCTTTGGAGCCTGTGGTGTCACTGTCCAGGGAGAGACACTGGAAGAGGCTTTAATGGGACTGCAGGGTTTCTGAAGTTCCTTTCTGGGACACTTGTTGGTCTTCAAGGGATTTCCTCTCACTCTAATGCAGGATTCTTCCTTTCTGCCTGTGTACCATCTTGCAGAGTTTGGACAGAGAGGGCAGCTCACTCTATCCACAGACAGGTGAGCCTTTCTGATAAGCTCCAGAGAGAACAGCAGGGCCTTTTGGTACAGCAGGTAGCTGCTTCAGGCCCTTTAGCAGGACATGGTGCTGTGACTTAGTGACTGTGGGGCTTGGGTCTACCTCTGCTGTGTGGGTTCTGTCTGTGACTTCCTGCTGCAGGGCCAGTTGCTCTCTCCTGGCCAGACAAGAAGAGGACAGAGTGCTCTTAGTCTGATAGTGGGGCGGAAGTTTAGAGACTTACTACCTGTATCTGGGTGGTAGGGCTGTCCCTGCTTTTTGCTCTTTCTGTAGAAACAAATTGTCAGCTGAGCAGGCCATGCTAATCACAGGACTGCCACTGCCTGAATCTGTGATATTTGAGCCTTAAAGTATGGCCCTGTGAAGGAAGAAGGCTGCAAGGTGTCCTCTGCCCTGTCCTGCCCAGCTGTGGGACTGAGGAGCTCATGGGGAGAGCTGTGGGCATTATTTGCCAGTGTTTTGGGTTGACAAAGCACACTCCTAACTCAGGCTGAGAGAGTCTTAGCACTGAGACTTCTAAATGAACTTTTCTGTAAAGAACTTTACTCCCTGGTGAGTGAAAGGTAGGAGATTCCTTTTCTGGTGACTTCTCCTTATTGTGAAACTCTTGGTTAATAAGGTCTGAAGGTCCTTGTGTTGTGTTTGGAGGCTGAGAATGAGGGTGTAGGTGAGGAGGGTGAAGGGCAGGGGTAAAAGAACAGCAGTGAGGGGAAAGAAGGCAGGGGTGGAGAGAAGGGGTGAGAAGGTCAGAGGTGAGAGAGGAGGCATGAGAAGGGCAGAGGGAAGGGCGAGGCTGAGGAGGGGCAGGCATTAGGGGCCGGGTAAGGAGTGTAGGTGTGGGGCTGCTTCCCAGGCTTTCATGAAGGCGGGCACCTTTCCTGTAGTCCTGCCTATCCGAGATACCTCCAGCTGCTTCTTAAGGTCAGCTGGCAGAGCCCTACATGCAGGACAAGGCAGGTGAACTGGGGACTGCAAAGCCTACTTTCCTTTTCTGTCATTTGGATGTAGGTGCCACCACAGGAGACACATGTCTCTCTGGTTGCCCTGCTGCCTGGCTTAGTGGGGAGTCCTGCCAGGCGGGACACTGGTGGAGGACGCCACCTACTGCAATTGAGGAAGGCCTGCATACTGGGTTGCTTTGTAGATGGGGTAAAGGTAAACATTTCCTAAGATTCTCCTGTTGCTGGGCTGAAGAGGCAGTGCAGGTTGGCAGACGCATGGGACTGAGTCAGGAATGCTCTCTATATTTGAGGCTTTTTCCTCTTGCTTTGCGTGAGTTAGTTTATGTATGAAGCACTTTATGAGGCTGCAGGAATTAATTACTATTACACCCAATAAACTGGAATTGTTGACACTTGGTCTACATGCTGAAGTTTTTAATCAAACTTATGGGAACAGTTGTTATTAAATGTGTATGAAAGTTAGGTCAGGTTCTAAGTTGTAGCATGTGGTTTGACTCTTGGGGTAGGTGAGAGGACTAGCCTGTGATACATTAGACTTGGTATTAATCCTGAACCATTGATTGTGCTTAGTTTCCCCCACTGTAAAAAGGAAGGATTACAAATGGGGGAGGCAGTGAAAGGCTGTGCCTTCTACCCCACAGTGGTGAGCACGCACACATGCATGCAGCCCTCCTTTGCCAGCTGTCACTGTGGGGATGGTCAGAAATGCCATCTTCCCCTCGTAGTCCTGCTCTCCTGCTTTCCCACTGTCTATCAGCATGGGTTAGCCCAGTGTACCTGGTAGCTTGCCGTGGACAGCACTTGGCTGGCTGTGCTGGTGCCTGGTGAGCAATTCAGAGGCAAAAGACCTTTATTTTCCTTGCCATCTACTTAGATCCCACCCCTGAAGCATGGCTTTTTGAGTCCAACTTAGTTTTCAGCTGCACTGGTGGGGCCAGCCCAGACCTCCTACTAAATGGTGTCCACCTCACACAGTGTGTAGTCCAGGATGGTATCCTGACCCTGAAACTTGAAGTAGCCATGGAATTTCTTCTTCTTAAGCAGGAGTGGAAACCAGTAGCTGTCATCAGGCCACATGTCACTGAAGGGTATTTGGTCCAGTGGGAACCAGTGGGGGCGCATTTCTGTACCAGGAGATAAAAAGGAAGAGCATTGGTGTTCAGCTCAAATTTAAACATTTGACATTCTTTTGTATCTCACCCTCACAACCATGTATGCTGGTATGCAGCTGCGCTGTGCTGTGACCTAGATGAGAAGACATGGCTATGGGGACCTAGTCTGGTGCTCAGACCCAGTGCAGTGAAAGAAAAGATCAAGCTTTTCTCCTGACCCACAGAGGTAGAAAGCAGGGAGCAGACTCACCATCGCTTTCCATGGGTGTCCCTTGGATACTGTCTGTGCAGAAGATGTGCACATCCATCAGCTCAGGGTTGCCCTCAAACTCAAACATGATGCGGCCCACCTTGAGCAGCTTGTCCACAGTCAGACCACTCTCCTCCAGCAGCTCCCTATGGACAGAGGTGGAAGAAGGGAGGAGGCCATCAGCAAGGTGCCCAGGCTGACGTGCAACCCTGATAATGGCAAGGGGAGGAGCAGAGCCTTTGTGCAGGTGGGCCCAGGAAGCCACCAAAATGGATGCACAGGCTGGGAAACCTGGGAGGATGCATTAGTAGGTCCCAACTTGGCTGAGCTTTGGAATGAACTTAAATGTTTAAGAAACTGATTTTGTTAGTGGGCTCTGGGGAGGGGCTGCCAGTTAGGGGTGCACATGCCTAGTGCAACACTTTTCTGGGTGTTGAACAACCATAGCCTCACAAGTGGATGGCAGGATTGGGACTGATGCCCCTTCCTGCAGCCTAGCATTGCAGCTAACTGCAGCAGGCACCTGCTGAGGCTCAGAAAACACAGGGTCAAATCACAGCTCTGTGGACTCTTTGCTGCAGGAGGAGCTCTTGTTCTAACACAAGGCCAGCAGCCACACAGGTGGAACATATATGACACACTTTGGCCTCTCTGGCTGTATGTGGACCCCTCAGCTGTGCATGAAGGGGCCATAAAGGGCTAATCTCATACTGGGAGCACACAAGTGCTGCTGCATCTCAGAACAAGTCCACTGACTCAGCCAGAATGTTCCCCTTAAATCATCGGTTCTCAACATGTGGGTCATGACCCACAGGAACTGTATTAAAGGCTGCGGCATTAGGAAGGTTGAGAACTACTGCCTTAAATAGTCTAATGCTATCACTAATTTAAAGTTATTTAAAAAACTACATGTTCTTTTATGACAATCCAGGAAAGAAGACACCCATGAACTCATCACTTAGAAAAAGAACCCTCAGTGCCATTTCAGTGTTTTTCCCTGGTGTGTGTGTATGGGTTCTTTCTCCTTTATACATCCCTTTAAAAAGTACAAACATACATAATTTATGCCTCGTGCTTTTCACCCACCCAAGAGAGGGATACATGACATTCCATATACCTAAAGGAATCCAACCCATTTCTCAACTGCTACGCATAATGGAAAAAGAAAATATCCCAACTTCTGTTTATTGTGGAAACCTGTGATAATCAGCTTCTCATCCCAGACAAATTGTTTATTGTGTTCTCTCGCTTTCTTGTTCAGCTTCTTAGCATACACTACCCAGAAGACCTCCCTTGTACTTGGTACCCTGGGTACCCACAGTAATTGTAGCCATGACTTTCAGCCTGTTCTTCCTTTAGAGACGTTTCTCACTTCCCTACTGCTTTGTATTAACTTATTTCTATAAAAACATTATGTTTGGCTGTGTATTGTGGTGTGTAAAAATTTTTTTAAGCTTTGATCTCAAAGTTACGTTAGGAGTACAACACATGATTACCTTCTGCTTGTAATCAGGAAAACCACTTTGTTCATTTAAGAAGCACACGTTAACATTTGGTTAAAAGATCATGGTTAATCAGGCTTAAGCTCTAGGCTGGAGAGGAAATGCACAGACTTGGAATTGGCATTTATTCATTGAAATGGTTAAAGGTGGACTTGACTTAAAAAAAAAATGTGTGTATTGTCACTTGGGGGAGTGCAAATGGCTCCCTAATTAAATGTAACAGCACTCGCGGGGCCTCACCTGCCTGTCTGGCAGCAAGCTGGTGCTTATCTTAAAAACTTCATCTACTGATAGAATGTTTTGACTAATTTTAGTTAATCTTCCTTGAGTACAAAATATCAATAATCTCCTCAGTGTCAGAGCTAAAGCTCCATTTCACAGGCTGGGATAATTAGGCGGGCGAAGATGACACTGCTACAGTTTTGCCTAAGTGTTTGACTGTCTCCATGATGTTCAGTTCCCCGACAGCAGAGAAGATGTATAATTAAACAAAAGCACAGATCAGTGTGGGTTTCTATGGTGTCAAGTGGCAGGGAGCAATTCCACTCCAGTTGGCCCTGCTCTTGGGTCACCTTTTGAAAGCTCTTTGTGGGTCAAGAAAGCTGGTAGCGGCTCATGCCACACACTTGATGCTCAAAGTTGATGCCATGGGGCTCATAATCCTGGTCCAAGTGCCTGCCTCCAGTGGAGGGGTGAGCCCCCACTCACGCCTGTCCTGGAAGTGAGTATGGAAAGTCTGATCTGCAGCCCTGTAACAGGGTAGCATGGTGGGGACAAAGCCTATGCCAGATTCCTGGGTCCTCTTCAGGGCAGCTGGGGCCTGGGGCTACTGGGTGCCAGGAGGTCTCTGAGGGGAGGTTCCACTCAGATATGCAGGTGAAGAGGCCCGGCAATTCAGCCTGACATTAACAGCAGGTCTTCCCCAGGGTGGGTGGGACTGTTTGTACCTTGGGACCCCTAAGTGTCAGCCTGTCTGGTTCCAGCATCTCCTGTTCCTCATGTACACGGATGGCCCTTGACAAAGGACTTTCTGACTTTATGATAGTGTGAGAACACCATGAGTTCAGTAGAAACTGTACTTGTAGTACTCACGCAACCATTCTATTTTTCACTTCATGAAATACTCAGCACTCACTTTTTTTGGTGTTGTGTGTAGAGGGGAGTCATAGTCTCTGTTGCCCTGGGTAGTGCCGTTCACAACCTTAAACTCTTGGGCTCAAATGATTCTCTTGCCTCAGTTTTTCTTTTTCTTTTTTTTTTTTTTAGCAGAGACGGCATCTCCCTATTGCTTAGGCTGATCTTAAAATCTCAAGTGCAATCAATCTGCCAGCCTCAGCTTCTCAGAGTGCTAGAATTACAGGTGTGAGCCACTGCCTAGCTGCTCAGTACTTTTATTATATAAATAGGCTTTGTGTGAGATCTTTTTGCCAAACTGTAGGCTAAGGTAAGGGTTCTGAGCATGTTTAAAGTAGGCCAGGCTAAGCCATGATGTTCAATAGCTTAGTTATGTTAAATCTTTTTTGACTTAAGACATTTTTAACTTTTGATGGGTTTACTGGGACGTAGCCCACTATAAGTTAAGGAACATCTGTACTGGAGTATTTGGGGTGGGGGGTGGGGCCCTGGACTCTGTCACCCAGCATGCCTCTCACCCCACAGGGGCAGGGCACAGAGTTTTGTCAGAGGGCATCCCTGCCCTTGACTGCTTCCTACCTCTTATGTGCCCTGTACCCTGAGCAGAGAGGCCTGCCTGCTGGGTATCCAAAGAGCAATGGCCAGGGGTCCTCAGAGCCAGTGTGGCAATGCAGCATAAGACCTTGAGTGCTGAACTTTGACCTCAGTCCAAAGGTGAGGAAATTACTCATGCATCATGGCCACAGGGAGCAACTGCCTCCAGTGAAGACCAGGCCCCTGTAGGTAGTCAGTACCAAAAAGTATCAACTAGGACCTAGGGCAGACTCACCCCACCTGAGCTCTCCAACCTTTGTAATAAATAAAACAGAGGGGAAGGGATCTAATTAAGTGGATCAAACTGCACAGCAAAAGGCTCTCAATCCTGTGATGTGAGGACAAAGGCCCATCCCTCCCCCAGTCCAGTAGCAGCCAGTCCACTCTGCTGAGTTTGTTTATTTATCCACCCTCCCATCTAAGGCCCACTGTCCTGTGCAGGTACCTGAGAAACAGTGGGAAAGGAGGCGAATGTAGTTTGATGTCACAGAAGTCATGTAGGCCCGAGAGGTAAGAGTGCAGTGCAGGGAAATCATGGTCTTTTGATAAATGACATAGTGCCAACTAAGTATCTTTATTGAAAAGCCCAATCTGACCCCCATACCTAGACTAAACACAATTCTGTATGGATTTAAAACAGTTTGTAGAAAAATACTTAGGAGTCTATCTTCTTATGCTTGGGATAAGGAGGTTTCTTGAAAAGGATCTAAAAATTGTTACCCATAAAGAAAAAATTTATATGGGAGTACATTAAAATGACATTTTATCTAAATGTCATTACTAGTAAAAAGGCAAGCCACAGAGTAAAAGATATTTGTAATAGTTGTATATGATGACTCAGATCTAAAGTATATGAAAAACTGCAAATAAATTAAAAGGCAACCCAATAAAATAATGGGTATATGATTTGAGCAGACACTTCACAAAAAAAGGATATCCAAGTGGCCTGCAGACATTGAGAAGGTGCTCAACTTGATTAGTCATTAGGACAAACAAAAACACAAGGAACCATTGCCAGATTCACCAGAAGGGCTAAAATGAAAAAGACAGAAAATACCAAGTGTTGTTGAGGATTTGGAGGAACCAGAATTTACATACTCCTGGTGGGAGTTTAAGTTAGTGCAATGACTTTGGAAAACTGGCAATAATTACTAAAGGTGAACATCTCCAGTCTTCATTCTAGGTAACTGCCCACCAGGGAAGAGTACATATGGGCACCAAAAGACACATACAGGGCTGTTTATAGCAGGGCCACTTGCAATAGCTCCAAACATCCTTTCACAGCAGAACAGGTAAACTGCAGCATGTTCACACACTGGAATACTATGACACAGCTACCTGCAAACATAATGTCGGAAAAGAACAGACAAAAGGGCACACCCTGCATGATCCTACCTTGTGATGAGACAGAACAGGCCAAATCAACTACCAGAAGTCAAGGGGGGGGGGCAGGGTTCAATGGTCTATTTCTATTTCTTGATCTATGCATTGGTTAAATAGGTGGATCTGGCTGGGTGTGGTGGCTCACATCTGTAATCCCAGCACTCTGGGAGGTTAAGGTGTTGGGGGGGGGACTGCTTGAGCAAGACTGAAAACTGTCTCTACTAAAAATAGAGAAATTAGTTGGGTGAAAGCCCAGGAGGTTGCAGTGAGCTATGATGATGTCATGTACTCTTAACTGGGGCAACAAAATGAGTTGCTTGTTTCGGGGGAAAAATAAAAGGTGGACCCACTTTTTAAAAAGGGCACTGATGGAGATAAGTGCATCTTCTCTATAAGAATTACACGTTACACTTCAATAAAAACTTGACTTATGAGCAGGGAAGTGAATAATTAAATGTGATCAGGAAGGGTGAGAGTGCTTGCTGTGAAGGATATCAACAGAATAAGATCTATTGAGAACAGTGGGGCTAGGGGAAGCACCCTTTAGAAGTGAAGGCTGAGGAGGGGCAGCCAGCTGAGGAGCCAGGAATACCTTTGGGTTTCTGAAGGGAGACAGGATAGGGCGTGGTGGCTGACACAGAAGAAGGGGCATTTATTTTAAAGGCACTGGGAGCTAGTAAGGGGTTTGATGTGTGGGTATGAGCGGGGGTGGGTGGGAACCTAGATACAGTTTGGGAAAGGCCATCTGGCAGCTGTGTGGAGCATGATTTGGAGAAGGAATGGTCTGCCTGGATGCAGATTACACCTGTGGGTAGAAATTATGCACTCCCTTGGCTTGGCGCCTGTGGCTCAAGCGGCTAAGGCGCCAGCCACATACACCTAAGGTGG